TTGAGCTCTAGATAAACTCATGTGCATTGTAACACAAAAGATATGGCTAATCCAGGAAACAGGGAGTCCTGTGACTTTTTTTCTCCTTCCTGAAAGGGACTTCAGCAATAAGAAAAACAGTGAGTTTGAGGAGAAAACAACTAAGCACAAGTGATTGTATGTTTGGTGGGCCTAACGCTGAGGTAAATGTGTATATCAAAACCATAAAGCTGTTGTGTTCGTGAACACATCATGCTTCAGTTTTCATGTATCTCGTCTTTTCCCTTAATGATTATGATGAAAACATGTTTTATTAGACAATTTAGTTGACCCAGTACTACAAATGCAGCCTCTGTTTTGCTCCAACTACTTTTAATTTTGCTCGGACAAGTTTTCCCTTGTATGGGTGTTAAGGCGATTTAATGCTCTGATATGCTGAAATATTCCTAATCTTTAGGAAGGCAAATCTTAGGTACAGGTAATAAGGAGTAGGAGTCTACATGTGCACATTTCTTCTTGGTTTCTTCTCTTGATTGCAAAACATTTGGCAACAGTACTTTTGGAAAGTATTGCTTTATAAGAAAAAATGTTCTAAAATAACACGTATTAATCCTACTTAGTCAAAGAAATTTGTAAATAGGGAGTATCAAAAATATCAGCTTTGATCTTTGAGAAATGTCATGAGACGGAACCTGCCTGTTTGCAGTAATAGAAATGTGCTTTGTAATCTGTCTTTGTATATTTACTTTTAATTCAAGGCCCCCAAATAGCTGTTTCTGCATTGGTGCAGAGCTGTGTTAGAGCACAGATTAAGTATTAAATCTATTAATTTGATAAGATATCTCTTACACTTGTCTTAAACATTTAGGAAATAACTTTGTAACCCGTAGTTCAGTTTCTTCATTTATGAATTTGAAATCACTGGTTTTGAAAGAACCAAGCTTGATGGAACCTCTCACCCCAGGGAATCTTCTTGTCACATTCCTGCAGTGTCATATTTTCTTTCTGAGGTGGTCTGAGGCTTTACCAAATTGAAAGGAACTGCTGTTACCACTGGGAGACAAAGTGCTCTGTATGTGTTGTAGCTGCCTATATTTGTTGTCAAGGAACTCACCCTCTGAATACTGTTGTGTGCTCTTTTTCTTGTCTGTTGCTTGTTTTTCTAAGCTAGAAGAACAGGAAATTAAAAATAAAAGTAAATCCACCACCACTCCCCTTTTCAAAGGCCACATAGAAGTGTACAGGCGACCCAAACTTTGTTCTCACATTGGAACTCACAAATTTTGTCCAAAATTCAATCCTTTTTCCGTAGCCTGGGATACAGTTCTCTGCTGAATGGGGGTGTGTAAATCTCTCCTGTACCTGTCAAAGCAGGAGATGCTCAACCAACCTTTGGATTTTTCTGTTCTTCTAAATATTTGGCTATTTATTTGTTTATAAAATTATTTTTCCTTTCACCTTAAGCTTGTAAGTGTGGCAGCTATAGACCTGCACCTGACTTTTTTTTTTTTTTTTTGAGTCCTGTCTTCTAATAAGACTTAAAATTTAGAAACATCTTATGTGTAGTTGTGGCATAACTGCAGGCTTGAATTCTACAGCTTTATAAGTAGTGCTGGTAATAAATTACATTTTCACTACCAGTTTTTTCCAGTAGCTGAGAAAATAAGCCCTTGAGATGGCCATGGGTCTTCTGCATGGGATTGTGAGGAGTCAGGGATTCTGAAGTGGTCAGTTAAAATTGCTTTAGAAAAAGCTTTTAACTGTTACTTTTGGTGGCTGCATAGATGAACAGCTATCTTAAATATTTCACTGAGCAATACTTCCCAACTTCTGCTTGAGTTGACTGCATTGACGGTGAAGAACTTTTAAAATTTTATTTACATAGTTTTTATTTGCTGTCATAGTTTGAAATTGGCCCCCCTGAGAGTCTGGGGGGGCTCAGAAGTGATTGGGTACCAGGGCAGTTCCCTGGAGAGCCAGTCACCACTCATGTTGTTTGCTTCTGCTCAAAATCATATATCACAGCACCGGAAGCTGTTGGCAGTTCAGTCTTGGTTGTTTTGCTGTTGCTGTCTGCTGCGTGTAGGTGGAGAAAGCCAGGGGGTGGCTGGGCTCCCTCTCTTCCCCTCTGGGGGGGAGAGGGGAGCCCTGCGATCCCCCAGCTCAGCCTTTGGCTAGAGTTAGAGTCAGCATTTGGGAGTGTATGCTGTGAAGGAAGAGATTCACAGCACCTGAGGTAAGAGGAGAGAGGCAGGCTTTGCAGCCAAGCCCTCTTCCCCCTCCTTTTCTGCAGTGAAGCTGTAGAGGGGGGCTTTTTTCTTTCCCTCCACTGTAAGTGGAGGAGAGGCTCAACATTGAAGCTGAGCCAAAAGACTGGGCCATGGAAGTAGGCCCGGCGCTCGGGAGGGGAATCCCAGGTGAAATTGGAGGCGAGCCAAGAGCTCGAGAGTTGCCTGCCGAAGCTGACTGGGGGCAGCCGAGAACTGACGTGGAGGAATGAACATTCCAGGACACAGACGCTTGATAAGCTACACTGCAGCAGCTTACAAACCGAGGTGAGACACCGAGAGGAAGAAATCACCAGCAGCAGAAGAGCAAGGACTCAAAACTATCTTCTTGGACTTTGTGAGGAGAGAAACTGCAACAAACAACTTGAACTTGGTGAGGGGGGAGCGTTCAGGAGCCCAGAACACTCCCACAGCAAAAGACTGTGTTACATATCAGCCTTAAAGGCTGCTCCTGGACTAAAGTTAAAGGACGGGCTTGAAAGGACTGACTGATAGTAATGTAATATATATATATATAGTTGCCTTTAGTTTGTATAGTATTTATTTGTGTAAATAAATGTATATACTTCCCCCTTCCCCTACAGAAGCCTCTGCTCTGAAAGTTTCTCTCCGGTGTTAGGATAAATTGGGGGAAGGGTGGGGGGGAGCCTAAAAATTGGATTTTAGATTTCTAATGTGGCTCAAACTGCCACTGTAGTTTCCTGCATCATGAAGTGTGAGGATACAAATTTAGAGCTTCTGTGAAATCAAAGCTGCAGTTACTGTACCGGTATGTTTATATGAAGGCAATAGTCATAAAACTTTATTCTTAAAATAGGTTTTTATTTGGTTGCTTTTTGTGTAAGTAAGGCCTAATGGTCTTGATTTGATCAAACGAATACAAATCCCTGTGCAGTGAGGCTTTGTTATGAAACCTAACTTTGGAGTGCAGCTTACAGTGTGATAATATGCTCTTGTAACTCAAATATCTTATGCCTAAAAATAAATGGTAAAAAAACCTCAAACAAAACTTTTAAGAAAGAAGCCTTAGGGGTTTTTTTGCAAGAAGGGAAAATATTTGCTTAATATTACCTATGCACTTTTCTGCTTCCATTTATTTTGCTGAGTATTGTTGCACTACACAGAGAAGTAGGAAAAGTACAAATTACCCAGGTAAAAGTAAGATAAAATATGATGTTTCTGCTAGTCCTGAGCCTCTGCGGTGGGACATGTTCAAGGTGCTTCACAGAAGATGTATGATTAGAGGAGCACCATCCACTGGCCCAAAGTCTCCTGAAGCCTGGTAACGAGGTCTTGTGCAACCCTTTTGTTGCTCTTCCCTTACTTCTTTTTTTTTTTCTCTCCTCCAGAAAGGGCTGTTTAGTGTAGGTCTTGAAGCAAATTTTTGAAAGGAAAAGAATATCTCCTAAAATACAATAAATTGGCTAATTGACAGCTACAACGCCTTCTTTCCTTGGAGACCGCGATGCTACATGTATCTTGTTGTAGGAATACAGATTAAAATTATTTCAAAGAACATTAGTTGCTGCTGTATCCTTTGGAGAAGATGTATTGTGTTTCAAATGACTGAGAATTCTTGTTATTATTGCTAGTTTGCTAGCGCTGTTCATCGAGAAAACAAAGAAAATGGGCTCTAAATGACTTGGTTTCATCCCATTTATTTTTAAATGGGAAAAGAATTAGGCAGCCAGTCTGAATTTGGCATAAGAGTTAATGTTTCATGAGAACTCGTGGAATAAAAGACCAGTAAATGCAACCTAGCAGTGGTTTCTAGGGAAGCATTATTTTATTTACCCTACAGTTTGCAGAAGTAACAGAAAAGCCTAAGACAAGAAGCCTGTCAGCTGTGGAAGTAGATCTAAGGGATACTGGATCTTTGAGAAGTGCACAAACAAACTACAGGTTATGTGCTCTGGGAATAATTTTGGTAATCACTGAAGTGTATTGTGGATGTCTTTTGGAAAAAAAATTATTAAAATGACTCATATTTCTTGCGCTTAAATATTATGCTTGGAAGAAAAAGCGTCTCTAAAAGAAATCATGAGGAAAAGGTAGATTTGCTTTTGATACCAATATGTTCATTTTGATGTATTTTTTTGTAGTGTGTTTTGATCTGTCACATGAATTTCTCCTGAAGTTATAACATGTTTTTTCTGTGTTCTTTTTAACATCACTTACAGCAGTTCTATGAAAGAACTATATATCACTCTTCTATAAGTGATGCTGTTTATGGCTGCCTTGTCTTGTGTGGTGTGTGGAATTTTATTGCATTGAAGCAGCAGGAATGTTCTTTCAGTGATGCATATATTTGTGTTCCCTACTTGCTCACCTGGGATTCAAGTGCTGTAGAGCAGGAAATTGTGGATGCTGGTCATGTGCTCTCATCACTAACATTGATGTGACTCAGCTACACGTGCGGTTATTACATCTTATGTCAGCGTGGTGATTTGTTGTTCTAATAAAACCTATTGTGTATGTGTTGGAGGTTTGAAACTTAAAGCTGATGGCAAATAGGAAAATTCTTATTCTGGCCTCTGTTGCAGCTGAGACAAAACTTTTCTTTTGTTATCCTGAAAGTAGGTCTTATGTTCTGCATCAGGTTAAACATTAAAAGCTCCTCTTCTCGTAACCACTGAAAAATGAGCTGTCACTGATTTAGTAATACCTTTCTTGTCTTTGCTTCTTGTGTTGAAACAGAACAGTCAGGTTTTGGTGTATATTTGTCTTTTGCAGGAAGAATCCCATTCACTTCCAACAGTTCAGTCACCCTAATGATGACGACTATCATGACATGGAGATGATATCTCAGGATAACAACGACAACCGGCCCGAGTGTCCATATGGAACAGCTTGTTATAGGTTAGAAACACTGTACAAAGTGGCTCTTCTTGTTTACAGGCTAAGAATGTTCTCCCCTGCAGTTGCAAAATGACGGTAGAATAATGAGAATAATTCTTGGTGTGAAATCTTGACTGTAGCCTTCTGAAATGTACCATGGTCAGACTGTTACCTTTAAAACACTTGAGTCTGTGCATATTTTGCACGGTGACACAGTAAAAATCACTGCTTTGTTTGTAATTTCAGCTGGTAAATGAAAATTTGACTCTTGGAACCTATTCAGTGACTTGAAGGTCAGCACTTTTCAGCATTCAGTAAACTGTTATTTTATATAAATGTATTGTTTATATATAATTTATTGTTACCTGGTGTTCCTGATATGTAACTTTTAGTTTAAATTTTGATAAAGTGTTTGTTGATATTTTGTATAAAAACTATTTTAATCAGTATTTGAGTTGTTAGAAAGCATAGTTGAGGAAAATAAATAAAACCAGTTTATAGCTGACTGCTGTTTTCTTTTAAGCACTGTTGATTTTCCTCAAATTATTGTTTTATTCTGTTTTTATTCTGTTTTATTATTTGTTATTTTTTTATCTAGGTTTTACACTTTTGTTTAGCAGAGTTTCACTGCCATGGAATTCACACAATGGATAAAAAGATATATTTTGAGGCAATAAGACTTCTGTGGGGCCATGTCGAAACTAAGGGCTGCTGTTAATAAAGATTCTTCCTACAGAGAAACCTTTTCTCTTGAAAAGTGTGGTGATCCTAAAGAGCATGTTCTCCATGAAATGTAACAAAATGAGGGCAGCTTTTAAGAAAAAACCATGGTTCTATTCAGCTAATGCAGAAAAAGTGTTTCTCTTATAAACTTCTATGAGACGAACTTTTCATCTCAGGCTGAGCAATGTAGGTTTATATCAGTAATGAAATTGCCAATGTGCTTTTCAGGAGTACAACGGATGCTTTATCTAAACCCCAAACTGTCTCTCCTTCCAGATAAGACAACCTCTGTGTTGTATTAGTTGGTAATTTCTTAATATTTGCTTCATTCTTTGGGCGTAGAGGAAAAGAGGTATCCGTGAAACAGTGATAATTCTTTTGATAAAGCAACAGATATAATTTGAAGGTTTTTCGTGTTCTTTTTGTTGTCCTCCTGTGTTGGCCACTACTTGAAGGGAGCATAATCAACTGATCTAAATGCTATGCCTTGAAAATTATCCATAAAATACCAGGGAATTCTGGACTTGTTAAGTGTGGAACAAGGTGATGAATCAAGCTTTTGCTATTTTCTTCTTTGCAGGAAGAACCCACAGCACAAGCTGTAATACAAGCACACTGCGCTTCCAGGTAAGCCAGCTTGTTCAATACTGCTCAAAGTGTGAGTTAAAAAACCCAAACCCAGTGATGGATACCCAAAACTTGTAATAAAATGCTTTAATCTACTTTTAGAATAAAATTTACATCTTACTCTGTATTTGGATTATTTTTTTTCTGGGATTTTTTTTCTTTTGCTAAGTTACAATTTTAAAGTTTTTTGATGCTCTAAACCAAACATTGCGACCATATCTGTCGTCTTTCTGTATTTTCTTTTTTGGGGGGGACCAGTGATTTTCTTACTGTGAGAACTAATTTTTGCATATATGTTCTCTTGAGGCCTAAAACTGAATTTGAGTTCCTATTCTAACACTTTGTAGTCTTTTTATATTTCAGCAACTTGACTTGTTGAAAAACAGAGGGGAATGTGCTGTTTACATTTTGTCTGTTCTTAAATAATTGAAAGAGATACTTCACATTTTACTTCACATTTTTTGTGCTTTTTCTAGATTATTGAATCTAGGGGTTTTTTCCACGTGAAATCCCAATGCAGTAAACAGTAGTTTAGAGCAGAACATTAATGGAATTGTAATGATAATGTATTTTACTGTAAAGACTCAGGATTGTGACATTACTAAGGAAAGAACTGCAGTTATGGAAACAATAGTGTAAAATATATAAATGCTTTTTAATACTCCAGTTTTCTTCTTAAAAACCCCCAACCTTTGTTGGTGACGTTTGTCTACAGATGGCAAGGGGTCATAACACTGACAACAGTTCATCTGGATAATCTCTTGGGAATGATTCAAGGCAAAAAAGGTGGTTTTGGGCAGCAGAGTGGCTTTTATACTTGTAAGTGCAGCACAACCATTGCAGGATTTGTTTAATGGCATAACCCTTATGTCAGGGTTCACTCTGTCCTGACTAAAAACTTCCCTTTCTTTAGGAACTGAAAGAGGAACCCGACACCTTCACCTTGTCCACCCTGAGAAGCTGCCCCACAAAAGTCTTTCACTGTGCCACCCCTGAAGAGTTTTACACTGTGTTGTGCTGCACTGCCCCTGCAGGAGCCTGTTGCCACAAGGCCCAGCTCTTTTTGAAATCTCGTATTAGGTTGGTTTCCTTTGCCTTACTGCCCAACTTTTATTGGAATCGTTCATCACAGCCTCACAGTGAAGTCCTTCACTGCCTTTCTTTAGCACATTGCTCACTGATTCTTTTGTTTTCTTCCTCACCTGGTGTTTTTTGGAGTGCATCACCACGTGGCCCTGGAGTAGTCCTTCAGACCTGTTTGTTTTATTTCTTTGTTTTTTCAAAAGCTTCCACCTCTTTTTGAGGTGTTTCACCCTATGGCTTTTCTCTTGACTTCTACAGTGACTGGTGTATGTTGGGGCACTTTACAGAGCTATTCTGGAGCAGTGCTTCACCCCTGGCTTTTTCAGAGTGTTGCATGCCCAGATTTTATTGCTGTGGTTTCCTGCTTCCCGTGATGCTCTCCATGTGTTAACTTCCACGTTTTTTCTTCTGGAACCAGCAGATTAGCAGGTGGAGAAGTTTACATGGGGTTTTCGGGATCCTTTTTAGCTTGGGGATGCCTTTTTCCAGGGAATGTTGCTATCTTAGTGTGTCTTCTGTCATCTCTGGATCCTTTTCCCCACCCACGACGTGGGGGAGCCCAGTTCTAGTTCCTTCTCCATCTGAAGAACCATTTCCAACGTCTTGAGGGACGGGGAAAGGGGACTCCAGCGACAGGGTTTTTCAGGCCCCGAGCCTGGAGGGGAGAGGTGCTCTCCCCTCCCCCCAGCACCCACGTGGCTCCATGGCAGGCACAGAGACGGCACACCGGCATGGAGAGGAGGCAAGAGAGAGTTTATTGTTGGGAAGGGGTTTATAAGGCTTTTAGGAGGGTCAAAGGGGACCAATCACAAGTTCAGGGTCACACAAAAGAAACCATCAGGTAAGGGGTCAACAGCCAATAGGAAGGGGTTAAACAAAGGACCAATGGGACACCTCGGGACACCTTTCCCAGGACATTCCTGCATGGGAGATAACAGTTGCTGTGGGGGGGTGTTGGGAAGAAGAAACACGTGTTTGTAAAGAGACCACAAAGAGCCATTTTAAGACACGTTTAAACAAGTTTCTCATCAGATATAGTGCTACATCCCAACCTTTTTTATTCCATAAAGATGAATATGTCTTTATTGATATATGGATTTTAAATTTACCCCATTCTCTTAGTGTCTGAGGGTGTCCCTATAAAACAGAATTTAAAAATGGTTTTATTGATGAAACAAGTTTTTCACTGGCACAAACTTTCAATTTACTGCTGAACCAAACAAACTACTTATTGTTGTTAATTTTAGTTTCATTAGAGTCCAAATGGTTGTTTTCTTCTGTTTCTCGGAGGCAGTCTCGGCGTCCGGAGGGGCTGCGGCGGTGGCTGCTGCGGCCGCATGGCGGGACGGGGGGTTGCTGTGTGCAGCAGGAACAGGGCGCAGGCGGGATCAGCGGGGCCGGGGCTGCCAGCAGCGCTGGGGTCTCGGCGGGGCGGCGGCGGCACCGCGGGTGTCCGGTCCGGTCTGTCGCGGGGCGGGGTGCGCCCCGGGCGGCTCGGCGGGAGCTGCAGCGGCGAGGTAGGAGCGGGGCTGGCTGATGTCGGGGCTTCCCCGGAGCCGCGGTGCGGCGGGGCCGGCCCGGGGCCGGGCGGCGCGGGGAGAGGCAGCTGATGTCGGGGCTGCGGCGCGGGGCCGGCCCGGGGCCAAGCGGCGCGAGCGGCACGGCGGGCGGCCGGGAGCCGCGCAGGCAATTGCTGCGGAGCTGTTTCGAGCAGCTTTAACCCTTTTTTCGCCATGCTGGCGTGGTAACTATCTTTCAGGTTAGCAAGCAGTCTTATTAGATGACTTGCAGATGGAATTACACAAAAAGCAACCAAATAAAAACCTATTTTAAGAATAAAGTTTTATGACTATTGCCTTCATATAAACATACCGGTACAGTAACTGCAGCTTTGATTTCACAGAAGCTCTAAATTTGTATCCTCACACTTCATGATGCAGGAAACTACAGTGGCAGTTTGAGCCACATTAGAAATCTAAAATCCAATTTTTAGGCTCCCCCCCACCCCTTCCCCCAATTTATCCTAACACCGGAGAGAAACTTTCAGAGCAGAGGCTTCTGTAGGGGAAGGGGGAAGTATATACATTTATTTACACAAATAAATACTATACAAACTAAAGGCAACTATATATATATATATATATTACATTACTATCAGTCAGTCCTTTCAAGCCCGTCCTTTAACTTTAGTCCAGGAGCAGCCTTTAAGGCTGATATGTAACACAGTCTTTTGCTGTGGGAGTGTTCTGGGCTCCTGAACGCTCCCCCCTCACCAAGTTCAAGTTGTTTGTTGCAGTTTCTCTCCTCACAAAGTCCAAGAAGATAGTTTTGAGTCCTTGCTCTTCTGCTGCTGGTGATTTCTTCCTCTCAGTGTCTCACCTCGGTTTGTAAGCTGCTGCAGTGTAGCTTATCAAGCGTCTGTGTCCTGGAATGTTCATTCCTCCATGTCAGTTCTCGGCTGCCCCCAGTCAGCTTCGGCAGGCAACTCTCGAGCTCTTGGCTCGCCTCCAATTTCACCTGGGATTCCCCTCCCGAGCGCCGGGCCTACTTCCATGGCCCAGTCTTTTGGCTCAGCTTCAATGTTGAGCCTCTCCTCCACTTACAGTGGAGGGAAAGAAAAAAGCCCCCCTCTACAGCTTCACTGCAGAAAAGGAGGGGGAAGAGGGCTTGGCTGCAAAGCCTGCCTCTCTCCTCTTACCTCAGGTGCTGTGAATCTCTTCCTTCACAGCATACACTCCCAAATGCTGACTCTAACTCTAGCCAAAGGCTGAGCTGGGGGATCGCAGGGCTCCCCTCTCCCCCCCAGAGGGGAAGAGAGGGAGCCCAGCCACCCCCTGGCTTTCTCCACCTACACGCAGCAGACAGCAACAGCAAAACAACCAAGACTGAACTGCCAACAGCTTCCGGTGCTGTGATATATGATTTTGAGCAGAAGCAAACAACATGAGTGGTGACTGGCTCTCCAGGGAACTGCCCTGGTACCCAATCACTTCTGAGC